CCAAACCATTCCATGATTCACGTCTCCCAGACACTCGGGGAACTATCGCGCCACACACGAGCAAACGAAGGGCAATCCGCTTTTTTTCGGAGCAAGAAGGCCGAACTACAAAGAGATAATCCTTGATTTAAGGGATTAGGCTCTGGGAGTCTTGGAGGAGTGATCACTGGAATGGTCAATGGATTTAAAGCTTAAGCTCACCTCAGACTCCTCCTCGATCTTCTGGCTTTCCACCTGCAGGAGATCCAGCAAGGTCTGAGGGTGCATCGCCGCCGAAAACTTCTCTGGGAAAGCAGCGGAGAAAAACGTTAAAACACGATCCAGGGGGGAAAAAAACCCCAAATCACGGGCGGCGGCCCCAGGGTGCTCCCACAGGAGCGCATTCCCGCCTGGGAAAACGTCGACGCCAGGGGAAAAGGTGAACAGGGATGAAGCTCAGGCACTGGGTTTTATTCCCGGGACAGTGGCCTTGACCTATCCGATGGCGTCTGAGCGGGAAACGGGAGGATAGAGACTTCCCAGGCGGCAGAGTCCTTCCCGCCACCGCCCCAGCGGCTCCACGCAACGAGGTCACGGAACCACGGAATGGTTTGGGTGGGAGGGACCCTAAAGATCCCCCAGTTCCGAGCCCCCCGCCACGGGCAGGGACACCCTCCCCCCCCAGAGCAGGTGGGCGCTCACCCAGTTTTGCCTTCTGCTCCCGACAGCGCTCAGCCAGCTTCCGCAGCTCTTCGTATCTGTCGGAGAGGTCGGCGCGTCCCGTCTCCAGCGGCGCCTGGAATTTCAGGTTCTGCTCGGCCAAGCTGCGGTTGGAAGCGAGGGCCATCTCCCTTTCCAGCTGCAGCTCCTGAACCTGCGGAAGGAGAGGTGACGCTCAGGCAAGGAGCCCCCGAATCCCTGCCGGTGTCAGGCCGGCCGCACGTACCTCCCGGGATTCCAGGGCCAGGCGTTCGATTTCCTCCGCGTTGTCCTGCAGCTCCTGGAGTTCCTCCACCGTCCGGTTCCTCAGCGTGTCCATCCTTCCAGGGGAGCTGCAGGCTCCTGGGATGGGGAAAGTCACGTGGAGAGAAGGTTTTTCTAAAGCCAACGGCAAACAGGGACTAATCTGCTTACGGATTTCAAACCGGCTTTGCTAAACTGCTTCCAGCAGCTACCCCAGAGGTTCCCCCGCGCTGGAAAGAACCGGCGGGAAGGAAAACTGAACGTATCCGCTCCTTCCTGCTTTGGCAACGGGCTTTTTCCCTCCTCACGGCGTATTTGGAAGGATTACGTCTGTGTGCCAGAGGGTTCGGTCAAGGAGACACCCAGCCACTCGAGAGCAGGGCGACGTCACCCCGGCTTGGAAACCCCAGCTGGCTCGCTGCACCGTTCCAGCTTCCCGTGCTGCCTCCCGGATCCGCCCGGTGCCCACGGTCACCGGTGAGGCCGCCCTCACCACCCATCTTCCTGTACCTCGCCGATTCCTCGCCTCCTGCCTCGTTTGAGGCGTTTTCCCATCTACCCGTTTTCCTTTCTACCGACACGACGGTGTTATCCGTACGGGATCAACTTGATCCGATCCTTGTGACTTTAAAAACAGCTGAAATACTACTAAAATCGGGGAAATAATGGATTTTCTGCACCAAATCCATGACATCCCAAAGAATCTGGGCTGTCTGGCAACATTTAGCACGTGTCAGCCGTTCGTGTCATGGGTGGGACGTAATAACGTGGGAATATGCTACCAACCAGGTGAGAAACACGGGAGCAGCGCGCTCCGGACAAGAGGGGAAGGGCCATACCGAACAGCCGGTGGGGATTTCGTTGTCGTCCTACTCGCTCGTGGCTCTTCTACCTCTCAGCCAGGGGAAACATCCCAAGGATATCACGCTGGGAATGTTGCATCAGCCTCTGCAGGTAAGAGGGAATGACAAGGTACGGCTCGGGGTTAGCAAATCTCGTCAGCCAGGATCCCGCCAAACCTGCCAGGAGCTCACCGCCACGCAAAAACCGGGGAATTAGCTCCCTCGTTACATACATGCGCGCGTAACTCCAGCGCTCTGCAAACCGACAGGGTGAGGGTTTTTGTTAGGAATGAGGCTCATGGAGCAGAAAAGGGGAAAATTAGGAATAGGGGCGAGAGGAAAGGTCGATCCTCGCGGGCCTGCGGGCACGGACGGTCCGTGGGAAGCGCCCTGACGGCACCCAGGAGGGCGGATGCGGAGAGGAGGGCACTGTCCTGTCTTGGGACAGGCGGCAGCACGGGGAAGGGGCTCTTGACCCGTCCATCTCGCCGGTTTTTAGCAGCGTTCCGGTAAGCCGCGGCCGGCGAGGTGACGCTTTGCCTCTCCCAGGGCAACGCACGGGCCCCGGGGCGGGGGGATGCCGTGAGGCCCCTCAGCAGCCCGG